GTTACTGGAAGACTGAGCATAGCCCATAGGCTCAACCTTTGATCTAAGCCACATGCTGCAACCTCAAATTATTGTTCGCAGGTTCAACATTTCCTCTCACTTCGTTCTGGCACCTTTCCAGAGAGGGACAAGTGGTTTTAGGGCATTTTCTTGGCTTACAAATCAAATAATATTTCATGGTTTTCACCTTTAATGGGTTAAGCAGAAGGCATTTTGACAAAAGTCACTATAGAGATTTGGAGAAATAATTTATACTCTAGGGCATTCTTAAATCAGCAGCTTGGCAATATGGGACCCCCCCCCAAAAAAAAAAAAAATCTCACTATGCCTTCAGACATTGCATTCCAAAAGCTGCATCAGCTATATTCTGGGTTGCTCCTTGAGGGACACAAAGTCCAGAAACCATCAAATAGATTACATTGGTTCTTACATGTTGAGTTTTCATTGGTGACAGTCATGCCACAGGGCACTCAACCAAGTAAGGGGCTGTTAAAGGAAATGGATGCCCTTGGGGAAGTTCTTTGGAAAATTAACAAATTTCATGCCTCAACTGGAAATTCAGAACTTGGCAGTGGCCAGAAATGAGCAAAGTAATCCTAGATTGCATGCATTTAGCATCGCAAAAGCCAAAGCCAATAGAGAATAAATTCCCTCTTGGATTGACTACAATTATAAAACGTCAATATATATGATAAATATGACCATTAAGGGGTTCCTGAGTGATGAGAAAACATATTTTGGGGAGCAGTCAAGACATATCTCTGTTGAACCATTATATTAAGCATTCTCATATTGCACAGTTGACATTCTAACTGCACTTAATCAAAGAGGTTGGGGAGTACAGATGTAGGCTCATTCTGAGAATACATATTGATGTTAACTGTTAAACTTTAGGGGTAAAGACAGTATAATTACACAGGGAAGGAACATGCAGGCACCTGTGTAGAGCTCAGGAGAGGGGATTCTGGACGTATCTGTAGGAGTTGATTAGGGAGGTTGGCCACAGGACCAGCTGGGCTGTGGAAACCCTCCAAGGGTTCTGGCAGCCTCTGCTCCTGTTCCAGAGACATAGAGCGCTACTGTTTTCAACATCCAACTGGACATTTCCATTTTTGCTCCCACTGCGTTCTCAAATTCAACAAGTCCTACACAGATTGACAAAATCCATGTTTGCTATTCCCAAACTAGCTTCTTTCATTTGCTGACGACACCATCATTCCTTATCTCAGGCATGTCTGATGTATTTCTTTTATTGCTCTCCATATATAGTCACTTATAGTTAAACATGAAGCCTTATACATTTTGACTTCAAACTCTATCATTATTGCTTTCTTCCTTTCTCCTTCCGTGCCATGCTTAGATGATCTCTTTACTCACCCTACCATTAATCTCATCTATCTGAATCCATCCTTTACTTACTTCCAGCTTATCACTTAAATCCTTCTATCCCATGGATAAAAATGCCCTGTGACTTGTCATGGAAACCCTGGTGGCACAGTGGTTAAGTGCTACAGCTGCTAAACAAAAGGTTGGCAATTCGAATCCACCAGGTGCTGCTTGGAAACTATGGGGCAGTTCTACCCTGTTGCTATCAAGAGACAGTTTCAAGTATTTGGTCTGACTTTCCAAGCTTCCACAGTCCAATCCTGATCATTCTTACTGCCAGCACACACCAGCATGTATGTCTGTTCAGCTTGGCTGGTTTCCTCACAATCTTCTAAGGACTTCATGCTTATTCTCATCTCCATACCACCGTTTTCCAATTCTGGTGTCACCAAGTGCATTTTCACCTGAGCAGGGGCAAAGCCATCTCTGCCGGGATGAGTCCCATCTCCAAGAGTCCCACCTCCCAGGAACTAAGGCAAGTCCAGATGAGGGATAAGAAGAAGCTTGCATGATAAAGTCTACTTCTTCTAATCTTGCCACTTAAATAGTTACTGATTAGCTGTCCTCTGACTGCTTTCCTTTGGTTTGCAGCTTGCCCTTGTTACCTTTTCTGTTTGTATGATTCTAGTGCCCTGGTCTTCTCCTGCCTGATTGGCTACTTGGCTGCTTCCTAATTTCTAGTTTTTGTTCATACCTTCACAGGTTATTCACTTATATGGGGACGCACACTGCTTCGGCTGACAGTGCTATCTACTTTAATCCTCATGATGCTAAAAAGTAGGTGCTATTAGCTCCAGTTTACTGATGAGAAAACTGAGGCTCATGAAAGTTAAGTAATATTCCCGAGTCACAGCTGATAAGTGGTGGAGTCAGGATTCAAACGCAGGCAGCAACTCAAGGACCTGTGATCTTAACCACGTCTTCTCCACTTAACCAAGCTGTACCCACTTTGATAGCATACATCTTGCCTCTTTGGAACACTGCGATTTCTCAGGACCAGGTATTGCAGTTTTTGTTTCTTTTGTGTCTGCCATATATCCAGTCTATGTCTAAGCGCACACACACACAAAGCATTTAATAAGTATTTTAAAGAGAATCAGACATATTCAGCTGCTGAGTCATGTCATGTAAATTATAAGCCTGCACTGGATAATAGAATAGCCACCAGCCACATACGGTGACTTAAGTTTAAATTAGTTAAAAATGAATAAAACTAAAAATTCAGTTGCTCAGATACTTTAGACACATTTGAAGGACCCTATAGCCACATGTGACTAAATTTAAACTAATTAAAATGAAATAAAATGGAAAACTGAATCAATCAGTCCCAGTAGACATATCTCAAGTTCTCAGTAGATACACGTCGCTAGTGGCCACCATCTTGGACACCACAGGTATAGATTTCCATCATTGCAGAAAACAGTACTGATGATATCAAATCCTCAATTTCCCCTAATATGCCCCATCAACTCATGTAACCAGGGACTATGAGTTATTCCCTAAATGTTTAGTAGGAACTTAATTTAAGCAGTGTTAAGAACCCTGGCTCCTAGCCAAGTTCTGGCATTGCAATTTTTAAGTTGTATGACATTGGACAGATAACCAAACTTCTCTCTCAGTTTTTGCATCTGTAAAATGGGTATCATAGTATTCCTGCTTAATAAGGTTGTTTTCAGGATTAAACTTACAACATGCTTACAACATTATCTGGTACAAACTAAGAATGCAATAAATGTTAGCTATTATTACTATGGACATAATATTCTTCATACAGGACCCAGAGCCATCAAAATAGGGGAATAAAGGGAATAAAGTCTCATATAACTCTCTCATAGTTTTGGAATTTGGATATTGTAGTCGAAAATGAGTAAGAAACATTTAAACATTCTCTCATGGGCAAACTTGGGAAGTACCTATCCGGATCTTCAAACAATAAAGACTAGTATTAGGCACATGTTAAACTGGGTCACTGAGAACTTGCCAAGTATTTTAAAGTCAGCCACATGGATTCAATTGAAAATACTGCAGGGCTGAGTAGTTAAGGGATGTATGTATTTCACTTGGTGGAGTCACCTTCTGGAAATCAGTTCCTATGCAGGCTCCACATCCTCACAGTACACTGTGTATTTTTATTTGCAGATTCATGTCTGAGGCACCGTCTTAGTTAGGACTGCTGGTGGTCTCAGTTCTCCCATCTGGTTGGGTCATACCCACAGGTTTTGAACTATAAAATACATTCCTATGACTGGGTTCAAATCAGAGTGTTTGGAACACTAATCACTTTTAAACACAGGGAACTAACCCAACAAAATCAAAGGTATTGAATTTAGAGAACTGGGAGACATATGCACGAGGGATGAAACCAAGGACTCCAGAACAGCCCTCACCATCCCATTGTGGCCGATTTAAAGACTGCTCTGTCTTCAGCAAGTGTACCAACGTTCTCTTCCAGAAGAATGGTCCTGCTCCCTCCATCTGCTGACCTCTTCAGGCTGACATTCACCAGCTAGAGGGATAGACAGGAGGGCTTGGAGAACAGAGGTCACTGTCTGATTCAATCCATCTGAAAACCACATCAACTCTGGCAATCAAAGAGATGGCCGCTGTTACTCCCAATAACTCTGACATCCACTAACTTATTCATTCCACCCAATATAGTTCTAAGGCCTTTCATTACATCAGTTAATTTCCTGAGCATTAAGATTTTAGTGGTGAATATTGACAGGCTTATTTGACATTTAATTATCACTGTTATCTGTCTAGAAGATTCCTGCACCTTAAAGAATAAAAATTTGATGAATATAGATATCCCTGCTTGGTATAATGCCATATATTCAACTACTTAGTTCTCTTTTCTCTTTCAAATTTTCACTTCAAATTCTTAGCATAGAGAATTATTTAAATCCATGCAAAGAAAAAAAAATTGAGAATCTATTTTTTTTATGTGGGATTTATATATAAGCTCTTATTTGAAGGACAAGCCATATTTCATGCCCTATTTTAATTTAAATTCTCTCTTGGCAATCTGACCATGTGTCTGCAGACACAATATTTTTGAATGAGTTACAAGCTCAAAGTTTTCAGATACCATGAAGTCTCTCAAAAGTTAAAATTACTTCAAAGGACATTTATACCCATCCTACTTTTTAGCAACAAATGAAAACATGCCATTAACCATCAGAATAACTCACTGGGGCCATCTCTTCCAGCCTGACTTCCACCTTTGCTTTCTTGGAGGGTTGTTCATAATAAACAAGTCAGGAAGGCAATAAGATGAAGAGAACAAGATTCTAAAAAGTCTCTTTATAATTGTTAAAGAAACAAGCCTGAGGAAAATGAAAACTAATTTCAAAAATGACTCAAACATAAAGACAGACTCAGCAGTTCTATTCCTGGGATGATCAGGAATTAAAGGAGTTTTTAGAGCAATTGCAAGATATATGTATTAATGTAAGTGTTTAGTTTAGGGGAAAAAGAAATCTAAGTACCATCATTTAACACTACTCTAATTAAGATATTTTAATAAAGTGTTGCAGCATCTCACAAAGATTTATTATTTGGGATAAAATAAGGGGTTTAACTGCAGCGGCTAATCAGGACTTTCAGAATGACCAGAATGCCTCAGGAGGTTAGCACCTCCCATTCCATTAAATCGGTCACCGCAAAAGAACATGATGGCCCTGGAACTTGTTATAAGCTATGTGGCTTAATGTTTTCTTTAACAATCTCATTTAGCCTTATTTATATTTCTTATTTTCTAGTTTCTACAACACAATTTCTTCTACCTCATGTTCCTCTTATCTCCTCAAATTGGAATTGCTAAGAATGTCACTGGGCTAATGTTTATAGTATTTGATTTTTGCCTGGATTTCTGGACCACTTGGAGTCTACTTAATTCCACTTTAAAAAATCAGCACATATTTTCTCTTGGCACTCCAGAAGTCAGACATCCTGTACTAGAGCTTGAACTTGAAGACATGACAGTGAAAACTATCATATGTTATTAAAATCAAGTGTTAATTACAAAAAAAAAACAAGTACTCTTCATATAATTTGATACAATTAATGAATTAAATCTTTTATCTATAGAAAACACTAAAATCGAAGTTCAAGATGCAAAATCCCAAACACAGAGGCAATTATCTAGCCTCCTTGAATCATTTTGTTGTGCTCTGCTTTCTCCTGGTAAATGAAATCCTTCTGTTTGTGGTTCTCATGGAGATTGGAGAGCTTGTTAAGGCTTACGGGGTTTTTTAGCGAACTTTGTATTATAATGAAACATCTTATATCTTAATTTATGTTGTCTTTGCAAAAATAGACATGCCTCATTCTAGGCCATTGGTTGGTATCATATTATTTTGTGCCATGCATCTCATCTTCAAAATATCCTTTATTTTATCACAAGACAGAGTAGAATTGACCCATAGAGTTTCCAAGGAGCGCCTGGTGGATTAGAACTGCCGACATTTTGGTTAGCAGCCGTAGCTCTTAACCACTATGCAACTAGGGTTTCCATCATATTTTTAGACATCAGGAAATAGGAAATGGAACGATTAGAATTATAGATTGTATAGAAGTTGAGTATGTAGGAAGTGTAAATAAACAGATGAGCAAGAGTTGAGTTTGGAGGTAAAATAAATTCACATACACACCCCAGAATGACTAACTGACAATGACACCAAGTAATTTTAGGTTCCCTGTGCATTGTCTACTTTGATCCATGGGAAAATCTGCTTAACTCAGAACAGGAACTGCAGTCCTGTCAATCCCTTGAGACGATGCCTCAAGACCAGCACTAGGAAGTGTTCACAGGTTAAGAAATGCCTGCCTCTGTATTTGCTGAAAAGCTCCAAACGTTCATGCCACCCTTAAGGTATTAACTCTATTGTAACACATACAAATATTTTCACATACGTAGAGTTCAGAAATACACTGTTTTCTAAAGTTAGGAAATTGATAACAAATAAAACGCAGCCTGTGAAAGGCTGCTGCGTACAAGCCAACAGGTTTTGTGGTTCTTTTTTTTTTTTTTTTTTGCTGCGTAGTTAGTACTGCTTCTGCATTCTGCCAGCATTACAGAAAGAACACCACATATGATAAATGTCCACAAGAAATATTGAATCAGTGACTAGAAAAGGAAGATAGGGGGTTGGGTAGGGTTAGATTTCACCTGATAGAAAGCAAAGCTTTTTAAAAAATCTTTCTTGGTTCTTTTAGGAATGCAGAAGGGCAAAGACAAGTTCTCCAGCTAACAGCAAGACCAGATTCCAAAATAATTGTTTTGGCTTTTGTTCCTCAATTTAAGAGTCATGTGTCTGGATTGTATTATTGAAATAAGTTCTTGTATTACACAAAGAGGAGATGAGAAAAACCCTTGAAAGCTTGCTGTTAAATACAATTCATATATTTTTCTTTTTCTAGGCCTAAAGGAAATAATTTCAGGGTGTATAGATTTTTGCAACATTTCAGGATATATTAGCTACAGTCATAGCGTACTTACTACGGGATTCTTTTGTAATGAAAAAACTTTTATCAGATTTACATTACAGAACTTCATTGTTAAGAAAGTCTTTCAACGAGTGATCTCTTATACAAAGCCTTGAAATAGTTCGTGTTGCTTTTACATATACCTGAAAAGCAACATCACACAGCCCTGCACATTTTAAAAAAGAGAAATGGAATTTACTTAACAGGAACAATACATGTTTTCCTCCTAAGCCTTTTCAATGAGCCTTATTTAGCAACA